TGAGAGAAGTGGAAGCTCCAGTTCCCTGCAAATGTTTCCTTGGATTCCATATAGAAATTCAATAGAACAAGCTGGAGCTTGAGCTCTCTCCTCATATGAAGGAGGTTTTGTGCCTTTAGTTATTACACACCTGTTTTTTCATTTCAAGAAAATGTTGGAAATAATATGAAAACAAGACGAGGTCTCGGCCTGTAGTAAGCGTAAATGGCCGTGCTTTCCAGGTTTAAGGATGCCTTGACCCGTCCCACACATTCATTTACTAACAAACTGAATGTACGTGAAAACGCGAGGGTCGAGGAACGCCGCCGAACCGGAAACCCGTACTACAACACCAGGTGGTTTATGTGGGCAAGGCCAGTATGTAATATGGGATGTTTTAACGGACTTCCATATGGGGAGAACCATCGGTTTTCTACTCTAATTTTGGTGCATTTCCTCATCTGAATTCTAAACTCTTTGTAAGCTATTAGAATGCACAATCGCCAAATTAAGGGATTTAGATATGTGTTTCGAACAATGGGGCTGTTTTGAAACAGATGGAATATATCACTAAAACATCACCATTTAACCATTAAACGGTTAAACTTTAAACATTCAAACCATTGACCCTATCGTTTTCCACCATACAGAAACCCATGAAGCCATTAAAACTTTAGACCTTTGAGCCTTTGAACCTTTGCACCTTTAAACCTATGGTTTTCCCTCATATGGAAACCCACTAGACGTTTAGAATCGTTTAGACCTTTGAACTTTTAAACCAATGGTTTTCCCCCATATGGGAACCCATGAAACCATCAAACCTATCCTCCTCCTACATGGGCCCAAAACCATAAGTTTAAAGGTTTAAAGGTTTAAAGGTTTGAAGGTTCAAGGGTGTTCCGGTTTAAAGGTTCAATAGGCTTCCATGTGGGTTCAAACGTTGAATGGTTTAATGATTTCATGGTGCAACCATAATGTTTCGAAACGCTTTCCGCAAACATGAAGGCCTAAGTAGTAAAGAAACATGTAGATCTTCACAAGCTGAACTACAATGTGCAAAAATCCAGGGCGGTGGAATGCCCTTGTACCCACCGTGCCTGGCGTGCCCTTCCAGCTGCCCGTTGTCAGCTACTAGCTGCTTGGGTGCCGTGCTTAAGCCCTCACTTCTTCGGGTGGCCTGGCTATTTGCTGGGACTTTCCTTTTCTGTGGGCTGTTGGCTACATTTCGATTGTGTTGGGCTGATGCCTGCCTTCATGCGCTGTTTGCTCTTGCTTCATGGGCGTGTTTTCGGGCAAGGGGGTGATGACGTGTATGTAGCCCCTGCGATGGCGCATTGGGCATGGCCCTGTCCCCACAGGTTCAAAACTTCGAGGGCTACATGACATCTACATCTCATCAGCGGCTACCCAACCTAAAGGAAAAAGGTTGTTGGAGATTGTTGGGGACCGACAATCAACCTGAAGGCAAAATGCAGAGCGTCCTTACACTTGCCGCATGTGAACATCCCAGTCGTCAGCTGCCTGGGCTGTGCCAACTTGCGTAACATCATGAAACCCTCCATCCTGGCAGGTACGCCAGGCTAGTTTAGCAAAACACTTCTGCCGCTTCTGCCTGCAACAAAGAAACTGCCCATTCTTCAAGGCCCACCCTTGGTCCAACGCCTCCATGGCATACTGCCTTTCGATTTACAACATCGCGCAGGCAACATATTCTGGTGCCTTCATCTGACAATGCAAATGCAAGCGATGCCTTTGCTTGGCCCGTTCAGCATTCTTTTCGTCACTAGCCTGCCCGCCAACAAGTGAAGCTGTCGTGTCCATCAGTTGCGCCTAATCCTCCAACACACGCTGCCCTCCCAATCACCCTGGCGCGCCATATCCTCTGCCGTCAGCTTGGGCAGCTGCCTTGGGGAGAAGAATCCCACCACCACTTTGAACCTCGGCCAATCGAACTGGAACCGGTCCTGGGAATTTGGGAGCTCGTGGCAGCCTGAAGGTAGGATTCTTCGCGTCCTTCAAATTGAAGAGAATCGACCTGAACTTCAACAAAAAACTCGACGCCGTTCAAAAAGTCGTTCAAAAGACTAAACTCTGAGCTCCGGGCCGGGCCTGATTCATGTAGGCCTCATTCATCTTTACACTCGTTACACTATTTTATTCACATTTCACTCTTTTGAAGGTTCAACAAGGCCGCCGACATCCTTCTTGCTGGGCCAGACCTTGTGGAGCTCCTCAACTTTCAGCCAACTTTCATCAATTTTCATCAACTCTAAACTATGTCTTGGCGGCCTCCTCAATGTCCTCCGCAAGCTTCACGGGGTCCTCAACAAAACGGAAGGCAAGTGGAAGGGGGCCTCAACCCAAAGCAACTTGTTGGTTTCGTCTCCCGCATCGTCGAAGTCTTCTGGGACTCGCCTTGCTCTATTCAAAGCTGTACGCAGCACGCAGCAATCACAACTGCAGATGAACAGCAGCTGTTTAAAAGCAACTTGCAGTGGCTTGCATGTGAACAGCCAGGCCCCGAACCGCCCTTGGCTTCGATCTCCTCCTCCTTTCCCAAAGCTTCGATGAGCTTTGCACGTACCTCCACAGCAGGGCCACGCTTTTGCAATCACAAAACAGCATCGCGCAAGCATCGTGTTGTCACGGCCTTATCCCTGTAGCCGTCGTCCTTCTTGTCTCCCTGCCATGGCGTCTCGACATTCAAAAGCACAAGCTGGGTCAGCCAAGACGCCTGAGACGACAATGTAGAGCTTGCCTTGCAGCTCGCTTCGCGTGTTTTAAGGGGATCTCTGCGAACTTCTTCCAAGCATCTGGCTCTCTCAAGCGTGCGGTTGGCCACCTCTCTAGAAGACGTGGAAGGAAGCAAGTTTGATTTTCTTGCTTGGACCTTCCCTGCATCGCCCTCGTTTTGGTCCGTGGGGTCGTCCGCGAGGCTTCCCTTGACCTGCTCCACTAATGGTACTTTGACGACCGCCGTTCCATCCCAACGTCCCCTACGCGCATGCATCTTCAAGAAGTCCAGTAGCAAGGTAGTGCACATTTTAGCTAGTTTGTTGGCCTCGTTGCCCTGGGCACGGGCATCGTGGCTCCAGCGTAATCATGGCATTGTCCCTCCCTGTTACCAAGCCTACAAGTCCTGAATTACCCTGGCGCCCCGAGCGCTGACGGTGTCAGCCAGAGATGTAAGCACAACATGCTCGCCGCATCCCAAAACAAGGCCAAGATAGCCGATATAGGAAGATCTCTGCAAATGGACGACAAAAAACCGGCCTTCCTAGAGCAACGGCAACAACGGCAACAGTCATACAAAAGATCGACAGCCTCCATGGGCAGCTTGGTCGGCAGGGTTGCTGGCGGTGCTTCTGGCGCCAACGCTTCACTCAGCTACTCAGCTCCAGCCACTCTGAATTCACGAAGGCACCTGCGTCCTTGTCAATGTCAAGCTCTTGCGATGCTGCAACCTGCAAAGCAAATCGACTCCCTGCATGTTGCGACATGCAGAATTGGCAGGCCAAGCTCCTCTGAGACATCGGAGCTCAGTCGACGCTTCAAAAGCCTACATGAGACGTAGAATCTGCAATCAAGAGTCACGACATATAGAGATTGGTGCCAGACAGGTCATCCCCGGAGGTCGATTTTCGCTTCTTGTACTCGTTTCTGTGTCAGAGGGCACATTGCCGTGATGATGGAAGAAAGGGAAGGGAGCCTGAAACCCAGCCTCCACTGAGCTTCAAGGTTCCGTGCCCTTTTCCGGATCTCTGGGTCCACGGCATCCTTGCCCACATTGTGCACAGCCTTTCCTGAGAAGTCTTCACACACTACCCAAAATTATCCGCCGACCCCGCTCTGC